GAGAGTTCCCGTAATTTTTATAATAGCGGCGTGCGGTGCCTTTTTTCTCAGGACGTCCGTTTAGCACCCAGCACTCGTTGCGCGCGTGCCCTTTTCTCCGGCAATGATTACAGTATTTTTCTAAAGTATTTACGCGTCGTCCTTCCGGCTTCGGTAAGGTATATTGATTCGCGTATCGGCTACTTCGGCAGTCGCGTCCGTAATGTCCCTTTTTACCGCATTTCTGGCACGTAACGTTAGATCGTTCGGAGTACTGATGTCTCGCGGTACTGGGCTCGAAGGAGCGTCGGTAGGGATTCTGTCGGGCAGTCGGCCCTTTAACTCTTTCTTCGGCGCTCGCGTCGGCGATCGCTTCCTGTAACGTGTTATAGTGCTGTGACCGCACTCTTATTTCCTCGGGTAGGCCTATTTGGAAATTGCAAAGCGCTTGCTCCTTAATGCTTTCAAGTATTGCGCGCTGTTGCTCCACTGTACGGGCTTTTCCGTCCTCTATGGCTTCGTACAATTCCATAGCGAGGGTCTCTACGCGTCTTCCGAATGTCTGCGCGTTTTCCGATTGTTTTTGGCGGAGGGAGTTAAATTCTAATTGCAGATGCGCGGTGCTTCGCTTGCTTAGATATTCGCGTTCCAGTTCGCGTTTTAACTGCTCGTAATTTTCTATGCTTCTCGTGTGAAAATCTATCATAGCTTTCCCTTAAGTAGAAGAAATACTAGATGTATTCACAGAATATTAATTAGTCTACTAATATTTAAAAAAGATATAATATATATATAATGTTACGAAAAATTGCGTTTCACATAATAAAACAGTTGATAATAAATAATATATATAGTTATAAAATATTAAAAATGCGTTTATATATAGTTCTTAATATAAAGTATCTAATAATCTAAATAATTATGTATTGTTCGAATAAAATAATTTTATAAACTTTTAACTTTATACTTACAATATATTTTTGTAGGATTTATTTTGCATGCCAATTTGTACAATTAATTATACTTTGTAATTTTATATAGTTTTTCATTTAGGGGTTTTTTACTAATCTGGGGGGAAATATAGGCTGGCTTGGGGGATTTACATTGAGGCCATCTGGCAACACTGTTGATAAGGCTTCTTCCTTCTTTTATTATAATTTGCCTTATTCTCGCGTTGGATCTTTTCAATGTTCTCCTTGGACTGCTGCCTCAATTCGGTCCGGTCATTGTCAAACGAAGCGATAAGCTCATTATCTAGAATTTCCTTGATGTCGGGATCGTCACGGATGCGAGGGCATACTCCCAACAAGACACGAAAAGGTGTCGTACCAATACTTCTGTGCAGCGTTGTATTCAGACATAGCTGGGCAGCGTCGAGATACTTATACCACTCATCAGGCTTAGGGGCCGATAGCTTAGTCAACAGCGGTATCAAGGTACGGTTCAGGCGCTCAACTTGACCATTGGCTCTTGGAACTCCCGTGGTAATCAGCTGGTGCTCGATGCCCTCGGAGTTACAATATTCTTTAAACTCCCCTGATGTAAATGCGGAGCCCCGATCAGAGATAATCCTCCTTGGGTTGCCGAACACCGATGACTGTTTCTTTAGACAATTTATAGCCGCGGCTGCACTCGTAGATTTCACCGCATATAACCACGAAAACTTCGAAAAGGCGTCTACAACAGGGGTGGGCAAAATGCTGCCCGCGGGCGCCCAGCCGGCGGGCATGCCCCCACTCCAATCATCGCCCCACCACGTCTACAATCATATTCGGAACTATACTTCTAAAGCGCGACGTTCTTTCCCACTTGCCGAAACTGTCTCCCCACTATTGCCCGACACGCACAGCTATTGCCCGCGGGCAAACGGGCGCCCGCGGGCAGTGAAAACTGCCCACCCCTGGTCTACAATAGCGAAAATGTGAAGGTAACTTTTCCTCGTCGACGGTAAAGGACCTAAATAATCGATATGGAATGTGTCTAACGGTACGCTTCCCTTCTCGATCGGACTTAACAAACATTCCGGTTTTCCGTGCTTTCGCTCGGCCATTATACACGCTACGCAATTCCGCACAATCTTTGGACGCAAGCTAGGAATCCAACAGTTTTTCTTTATTAGAGCTTCCGTTTTATTAATTCCGAAGTGTCCTTGTTCGTGAGCTTTTCTAATTATTTGCGTTTACAACTGTTTCGGAACAACTAACCGAATATCGTCGTCTACTTCTTTATACAGAATTCCGCCTCGCATTACATAACCATCCGCTTCGCTTTGCTTAGTCGCGTTGATGAGTACTCGCAACTCTCCCCTGCGCCCCCCTCAATCGCGCCACCAGTCCCTCTTCACATTCATCTATAATCAGACAGGACGGTATGGGATTTCGACTGAGAGCATCTACATAGACCATGCTTTTTCCGGGCCGATGCTCTATAAGGTAGTCAAACTCCTCAAGAAGCAGCGCCCATCTGGCAACCCTTACACATAGATCTTTCTTAGCCATGGTCAATGCAAACGCCCTACAATCCGTTACAATTTTAAAATGTATTCCCAACAAATAAACACGAAATCGTTTGAGCGCCCTGACAATCGCCAACACCTCTAACTCGTACCTCGAGTATTTTTCCTCTGCTGGTGTTGTTTTGCCGCTCGCGTAGTATACCGGGTGAAATCGCTGATCCTCGCTATTTTTTTGAAGAAGAATTGCCCCATAACCGTATTTAGACGCATCCGTGTGCAATTCGGTTTCCACACCAAATACGGTATAAATTTAATACAGGCTGTTGGCATAGTATAAATTTTAACTGTTTGAATGCATTCCTTTCAGCCTCACCAAAACAAAATTTAACGTTTGCCTTTAGCAAATTAGACAGCGGTCGAGCGATAGTGCTATATCCCGGCACGAACTTGCGAAAATATCCGCTAAGACCGAGAAAAGCTTGTACATGCTTGACGCTCCGCGGTTCTGGAAAACGCACTACAGCTCCAGTCTTTCGCTCCGACGGTCGAACGGTGCCGTTTTCGATTATATGTCCTAAAAACTCAACTTTTCTTTGTAAAAAGGAACATTTCTCCCAATTAATTACTAATCCGGCTTGACTCGCCGTCGTTAAAACGTTTTTTAGATTTTCTAATCCGTCGTCTTCATTTTCCGATAATACAATCAAATCGTCCATATAGGTCAATACAACTTTTTCTCTAATCAAGTTTCTAAATACTGCGTTAACAAATCTTTGAAAAACCGATGGTGAGTTACACAAACCAAAAGGTACTCGTAAAAACTCGTATTGACCATCCGGAACGATGAACGATGTATACTTCACGCTCGCGTCATCCATATGCACATGGAAGAAACCGTTTTTTAGATCGAGTGTACTGAAGAGTTTCGAGCCTTGCAATTGATCCAGCTGATCCTCTATCAACGGGAGAGGATATCGATCCTTTATTATTTTTTTATTGAGGAGTCTATAATCTACACATAACCTATGAGAATTATCCTTTTTTCTTACAATTACAATCGGACTCGCGAAATCGGATGTGGATGGTCGTACAATGCCCTGTTCTTGCCACTCATCTATCTGCGCGTTGACAATGTTTCTTTCTGCTGGGGATAAACGCCTCGCCTTTTGATATACCGGTTCGTCGTCCCTCAAAATAATCGTCATTCTAACCTTAGTATCGACGTTAACGGTCTTGTTTGGTACATAATTTTCTATTAAAGTCGCTACCGCCTGTCTGTATTTGTTATGTATACGAGACACATCTATCGCGTTTGACTCACACACTTTTTCCACATCAATTTGAAATATATTCGTTGAACCGTCCCCATCGACTATATCTTTAGAAATCGGGCTAATCATTATTTTTCCCGTATTTACATTGACCTCCACAGTATCTAAGAAGTAGGGATGCAACATCGCTCATAAAAAACATCGATGTTAGAACATCGATGTTTTCAAAAGTAAAACATTGATGTCGAAAACATCGAAAGTTTATGAACGATATATCGATGTTTTTTCGATGTTTTGGAAAAAAAATTAAAAACATAAGAATGTTGAAAATCACAAATTCAATGGAATAAAAGGACTTTTATTCCATTGAATTTGTGTTTAACACATTCGAGCCTTATTAATTTGTTAAAATGTTGAAAATGTTTATTATTTATTTCGCAAAATAGAATTTAAGAACAACAATTTTGACAATCTTGTGCCTAGTAAGCGGTTTCTTTCTTGGGTAATCGTAGCCCCAGCTTCTGAAAACAGACGCTCACTGGGCACCGACGACGTTGCTACGATAGGCAAATATATCATCGCCAGTTTATACAGCCCAGGAAATAAACCTTTCATATCATCCCACATTTCTAAAGCATCTGCTATTATAGGAGTTACAGGAGACGACATAAACATGTGAAATTCTGATTCTGCTTTTGTTTTATCTGTTGTTTTATTTTTTATGTTGTTGTGCGTTAATTGTTTGTGGTAACTCCATATGTCACGTTCAGATTCATTATTTTCATCCTTTTCAGATTCGTCAGAAGACTCAATTAGTAAAACTGCTGCTTGCATATTGGTTAAGTAATTATTTATATAACTGATGACTTTACCCTTAGCAGTCGCATTTTTGAAATGAATCAGTTTGAAGCGTGGATCTAAAGCGGTTGCGATAGCCAAGGATAAGCACTGCTCTAGTTTATCGAAGCGTTTTGACACCTCCTTTTCAATTTCTGCTTTTAATGAAACCGTGCTTTCAAATGTTGGTGAAAATTTTTCTAACATGCTCTGTAGACAGCTTACAAGTGGAATAACCTTACTTATTGTGACATAATTCTGTGCGGAAATTTCTTTAGTCAATCTTTCAAAGGGCTGTAAAAGTTGTACCATTTCGCGCAGACAGCCCACTTCATTAGAAGTTATCATTGGTGGAGCATCAGAACAGCATAATAATATTGCACCGATCGTTGAAATTAGCTCCATAAAACGTTCCAACATATAGTACGTTGAATTCCAACGAGTGCGAACGTCAAGTATCAGCTTTTTGTCTGGCCTTCCATCTTACCAGCCTCCCTTTGCTTTTTCCGCAATTCATCACTGGCATTGACGCTACGTTTTATGAATTTTACAATCTCGCGCACTTTACTGATGATCATTGATGCAGTTTTAGCTTTATCCAATGAGTTTGTGACAACTAAATTCAATGTGTGGGCGAAGCACGGTATTATTTTTTTTTCACCAAACATGTCTCTATTTACCTTCATAACCTTGCTGTCATTGTCAGTCACTACAGCAGTAACTTTATCGGTAGTAATACTCCATTCGTCGAAGATATCTGAAAGTCTGTTTTGTATGTATTCTGCTGTATGTCTTTCGAATAACTCAAAGACTCCCAAAGTTCCACTCATAAGCTTGGATTTTTTTAAGAAATGGATGGTGACTCCAACAAAGGACTTGTTCTGCATCGTCTCTGTCCATATGTCATATGTAATACAGTAATGTTCTGCTACTTTTAAGTAATTTTTAAAAATTTCTGACATAGCCTCATATTTTTCATCTATACGTTTTTTAAACGTTTCTCTAGAAGGAATTTTGTACAAGGGTACCAGTTCTCTCATTAACTGTGTAAATTCGTTTCCTTCCACAATTGAAAATGGTTTATGGTCCATGATAATGAAATTCACAATCGCTTCAGTTATTTTTTTATGTTTGTTACCTTCAATATTTGTTATGCTTTTAATATTACTGAACAATTCCTTTACATTTCGTTGTAGAGCGTTTTGTTTGGGTTGAGTATCCGTGATCGTAACTTTTGAACTGCAACCAGATGAGCTAGCTTGTTTCTTAGAAATATTCTTAGAATTATCAACATTCATTCCATCAATAACAGGTTGATCATTTTGAACCTCCTTGTTTGTTTCGTCACTGCATTTTTTTTTGGACTGGCTCCTCTGCTACTAACTCTTCAACAACATCTACGTGTAATTTCTCCAGATGACACCGAAGATTGGTGGTATTTCCTGATGTTTTCAGGCATTTATTGTAAAATTTGCAAATTGCTTCTCTGTCATTATCACTTTTTCGGAAATAATTCCAAATTTTACTTTTTTTTATTAGGTGGCATTTTATCTGAAAAAAGAGTAATGTTATTAATAATAGTAATATTTAAATAATGATATAAATAATAGATATCGATAAATGAAAATGATTTAACACAGCACAGCACTATTGACGCAGGTAACTAAATTACGACTGAGGCTGGATTCAGACTGAACGCGATGAGCGATATCCAATGGGCGTACAGTTTTTATAGGAAAACTATACGCCCATTGGATAATCGTTCGTCGCTCATCGCTCATCGCGTTCAGTCTGAATCCAGACTCAGACGTAATTTAGTTACCTACGTCAATAGTGCTGTGCTGTGTTAAA